TAATTATTGGTGGGAGCTGGGTGTTTGTTGTACCATTCTCCCTACCTTTGAGTATGCTTGAAAAGCTTTATTAAAAAAATGATGAATTAAAATGTTTATGTTTACTTTATATACCACTCCATACGAAAGCTGCAGCCATATCAGAACTTTATTAAGTTCTGCTCTCTGGAGGCAACCAGGACTGAAATGATGGGAGAACCCAGGAGCTCTGAGCTGGAGGAGGGAGTGGGTGACAGGTGTCCACTGTAAGCTCTCACCTGATATGCAGGTCTGCCAGGTTGCGGCACATGCTCACTGCCCTCAGCATGCAGTGCACCCCTTCCACCGAGAGCCTGTTGTCACTGAGGCTATGGAGAGGAAGAGGAAGGCAGCCATCAGCAGGGGCTGGATTCCCCAGCTCCAGACAGCTCCAGGCCCCTCCTCCTGGCTCAGCAGCTGGCTGGCTATCACTCCTGGGATGTCCTGGATCCTTAACCAGAGGGATTCCTGCTCATCTCCTGCTCATGTGGATGAGCCAAGAGACACAAGACCCTGCCCCACTCAGAGAATAAAGTTCTCCAGCTGGAGCCATCAGAACCAACTCACTGCTTTCACCTCTCTGAGCCTCAGTTTCCTGGCATGTAAAATGACCATCATTCTAAGCACACTTAACAAATGGGGAAACAGCCTCAGAGGTGTTGAATTACTTTCCCAGGGTCACAAAGCTCTAAAAGCTACTGAATGACAGAGCCAGGATTTCAGTACAAACCAAGGCTCCAGATCAGTTCCCCAACCTCAGCACTTCCCACCCCAGCCCACACTTGATGCTGAGACCCCAGTGCACGCACCCAAACAGCACCCCCACCTCACCATGCAACACTGAGCAAACCCAACAGCTCAATACCCGTCTTTCCGTCCCACCACCCAGCAACCTGCCCCTTCACCCAACGCTCTACCCTCACCTTAACACACCACATACCACCCCAACAACCCAACTCAACACCCCAGTGCCCACCCATCCAATACGCCAGGTTGGCTCCATGCAATACTCCACCTCACCGCATCCTGCTCCACCCTAGGGCTGTTGTAAGGACAAACTGGAACACAAGCCACTGAGGTAGAAGGGACACATTCTACAAGGGGTTTTAATAGTTGGAATTAAGTGGCTCATGTCAGAGGCAAAAGCAAGGCAGGCATGGTTGAGCCACTTTGACTTCACTGGAGTTGGGAGAAGGGGGTGGGGAGCAGCTCCCTAAGTGACTATGGACATGGGGGTCGGGGGGGTCGGGACCAGCTGGGACTCTCCAGGGCCCCCCCTGTTACCCAGCAGTGGGGTGGGTAACTCCAGTTTCCCAGTGATGTGCAGCTGGGGGCAGCCTCTGCCATCAGTCGACAGCCTTCGTTCTCCAGCTGGTTCCCTGAGAGGCTGAGACAGAGGGGCCTGATGCCCTGGGCTGCTAGGGTGGGGTCCCCCCTCAACACACACGCTGACCCTCATTGACTATCCCAACATCCTCCTTTCCTTCTTGCTCCAGGGCTGGAATCTGAGCTCCACTAAATACTGGCTGTGTGACCTTGGGCAACTCTTGTTGCTCTGTGGGCCTTTATTGCCTCATTTGTGAATGGTGAAGGTTGTTGCTGAGGTTGTGACTGTGGGTCTAGAGGAAATCACAGGTGGAGAAGCCCTCCAGAACGACAACCAGGAAAGGCAGGCAACAGGATTCAGAGCCCTCCCTGAGGGAGTAACAGAGATGAACTAGAAAGTCATCTTTGAACTGGAGAAAGTAGGCCCTTGTGCCTTGTTTTATTTTGCTCATCCCCTCACTGTACAGATGAGGAAACTGGGGCCGCACCGGTGGGTTTAAGAGCTTCAAAATTTGAAAGTTAAGAGAATAGATCCTAAGATTTTTCATCTCCAGGAAAAAACCATCTTTTCCTTTTTGTGTGTGTCTGTATGAGATGATGGATGTTAACTTATTGTGATAATCACTTCATGATACATGTACATCAGATCATGCTGTACACTTTAAATTTGTACTTTGTGTATGTCAGTTATTTCTCAGTAAAACAGGAGTGGGGAGAAAAAAGTCACAAAGACCCAGATTTGATTCCTGGCCTACCACTTACTAGCTGTGTGGCTCTGGGAAAGTTAGGAACAATCTCTGGGTTGATGTACTCATCTGGGAAGGGAGGGTCACCAGGAACCTCAGGACAAAATAAGGGATTTGGGTGTAAAGGCTGCCTTGCCTCTTCGAGGAGCAGCACACCCCCTGGAGGTGGTGGGTCTCCATCCATGGCTGCACTTAGCATTGCCCAGAGTGCCTTCTAAATACTATTTAAAAAAAGTCCCCATGTGATTCTAATGTGCAGTTAGGGTTGAGATCCACTCAATGGTCTTCAGTTTCACTAAATTAAGTATAGTCTAGCAGCATAGACATCACTTGGGAGCTTCTTAGAAATGCTGAATCCCAGGCTCTGCCCCAGCCCTGCTGAGCCCAAATCTGTATGGTAACAAGATCCCCAGATGATTGAATGCACATTGCAGTTTCTGTAAGTGCAATTTGATAGTTTGAGAAGTGCAGCTGGACAGTGATTTCAGATGTGTGTGTTTGAGGGAGCAATGAGAGCGCAGTTGGGGAGGACTAGGAGCCTGTGTGGATAGGAAGGGAGATTCTGTGACTCCCATCAGAAAAGTAGTCATTCAGTCTGTAAAACCATAGGACGGAGGCCAAGTGACAAAATAGCAAAGTGAGCTTATCCCAGCCTTTCATATAGACCTGGCGACTTACCAGCGAGATCCCATTCTTAGTGAGAAGACTCAAGCTGAAACCTGGAGCACTGTTTTGATTACACTGCTTACTGGCCCATAGTCTTACTTTTCTTTAAATTTTGTTTTCATGTATGTATTTAAACAACCTACTTTTGGGAGGAAGGGAGCAGGGAGAGTGGACCCCATCGGCGTTGGATAGAAAAATAGTCCAGGCATCCAAGCAGGCAGGTGGCAGGAGAGGCAGGCTCTTAATAAAATGAACAAGGGGATTGCACACCAACCGGAGGCAGCACAGCCAGCTCTGCAGTGCTGACGATATTGTGGATTTTTGTGCTGCAAGTTTCTTGGAGCTTAGAACTTGGGCAGAGATGAATGGGAAAGAAGGAGAAGGGGAAAGAAAGTAAAACAAGCAGCAAATGAAAAGAATGTCCCTGAGCTCTGGCTGCTGCCGGCTGTGTATTTCATCTGGCTTGGAGCTTCTGGTTGGCGCTGTTCCTTCCTCAGTCGGGACCTCCCTGGTCAAGGCCTCATCAGGCTTTGAGGGACTCCTAATCCAGTCTTGGGTAAGGGGAGGGGGCAGCACAACCCCCCTTGGCATAAAGGTGCACACTGAGGGCTCAAGGTCACCTTGGCATCATTTCCCAGGAAGGGGAGACATAATTTGGGGCTCAAGGTTTCCAAGTAAACTTTTTGGATCTTCTATCTGCCCATCCCTTTTCCCATGACTAGGCTGATGGCTTCACTTGGTGCCAGGTGTGCCCTGGCCCTATAAGGGCACTCACTGTACAGGGCTCGGTGTATTTGGCACTTGGCCAGAGGACTTTATCCTCATGCTTGGCAGGGGATTGAAGAAAATGTGGAGTTTGCAAAGGTCAGGGCTGAGCCTTCCAGGTGAGCCACTAGCAGGCTGAGACATCCCAGGCTCCTAGGCCAGGTAGGAACAACCCCTAACTTCCTTCTGGGTCCAATGGCGAAAGAGGTTTTCTCAGAAATCTGGGCCAGCCTGCCCTCCAGTGGTGCTCGGCTGTAACTGCACTTTCCCTGCCTGCTTTTCACAGTGCACTTGAAGCTTTTGAGGAAGGCTCTTCTGAGATCCACAGGCAGGTGACCAGGAGGAGGTGTTCTCCTGTCATTTCAAGCATCTCGCCCTCTCACATGATATTGAACCCTAAAAGGGGGAAGGAACTGGGGACCAGGGACTATTACTAACTTATGTAAAGGATAGCCCCTGGCTTCAGGGTCACGTTATTGTCCACTCTATGCCCATCTGACTTTCAAAGCCATGTTTCTAATGTGCCACCTGCCCATGGAGACCCTCTAAGCCAGAAGTTTCCAGGCTCTCACAAGAACCAGGCAAGCAGCAAATGGGAGGGGGACATTGGGGAGTGGGACATTGGACATTGCGGAAAACAGGGATATGTGCCACATCTAAAGGACACAGTAATATGGTTCCAGCACATTACTCTTTTTGTTGTTGTTAATCCTCACCTGAGGATGTTTTTACCATTGATTGTTAGAGAGAGTGGAAGGGAGGGAGGGGAAGAGAGAAAGAGAAAGAGAGAGAGAGTGAGAAACATCGGTTGCCTCCTGGACCTGCCCTGACCTGGGCAGGGGTCGAGTTTGCAACCCAGGTACGTGCCCTTGACCAGGAATTGAACCTGCGACCCATCGGTACATAGGCCAGTGCTCTAACCACTGGGAAATACCTGCCAGGGCTCCAGCAGGTTACTCTTGAGAATGCTGTCTAGCCCCTAAGAGAAGTTGAAAATATGGAGTTTTATATAAAAGTTCCTGATTTTAAATGTTGACAATTCAGAAAAGAGTTTAAATTTAATGCAGGTCAAACACAGAAGGTCTCTAACATGTTGAGCTTCTATAACACCCTCATGGGGCAGGTGAGGTCTGGTGAGAAGAGGTGGCTTGCCTGTGATCATATGACCATATAGAGGCAGAGCACAGACCTGACCTCATGTCTCCTGATTCCCAGGCTAGTGCTGCTCTCAGCACACCTCTCTGTGGTCTGCTCTGCTCTCCAGGCCCCAGGGCAGGGGGTGAACCACTTCTGACTTCAGTGAGGTAGTGGGACATGTCAGACTCAGACTAGAGGCTGGGAAGCTATCCACATTTATTGGCCACACTTAGCTTAGAGTATAACAGGGCCATCCTTGCACCCTCTTGGTAGCATGTAGCCCCTGGGAGCTCACCTGGATCCCGCTGAGGTAGTGGCTGGGCTCCATGGCCTTGCCTGGTTATCTTGGAAGTGCCCACTCCTTGCACCCTTAGACCTGGCTTTGTCCCTTACACAGGACAGGCTGGGCCCCTTCCATTTCACAGGTCAAGCTGGCTCACCCTAGACCTGGGCCCATAGTTCTCGTAGGTCAGCATTTAAATGGAGGAGTCACTAGTTTACTAATGGGCAAACCAAGGCTTGAGGCTGGATGAGGGGACTCATCCGGAAGACTCATGACTGAGTCCCTGGCTTGGTCCAGGGCCCTGGCCCTCGGGCCACTGGGTGGGTCATTGTTGAGACACTCCCCATCCCAGTTCTGAGCAGAAGACATTTTCTGGCTTAGTTGCTCTAGAAATGCAGTTTATAAATACATACTTGTTTTTTTTAAAGAAGTAATAAATTAGATCTTGGACCAGCCTGAGGACATTTGGCAGCCATGTATCATGTAACATGGACATTTGTCATGTGTCTTACATGAACCACCAATCATATGTTCTTCTATGCATGGTGCTAGGACCCTTGACACTGACCTGCAGGCAACACTGCAAGTTCCATGTAATGTCACATGGAACTGTCACATGTGACCCGTGTCATGCATCACATCATGACACCCTCGTTGTGCTACATGCTCCTACTGGTCACGCATATCACATGTGATACAGGGTAGTCTACTGGCCACACCAGGCTCCTGGTTCCCAAAAAAATCCCTCTCCAAAGACTGTAACAGGACAAACATGTCCCTCCCTCCTGGGGCAGGTGCAGGGGCACCCTGCTGCGGCTCTTCCTGAGCCCTCCATCCTGGCGAGTGGAAGTTGGCTTCACTTGGCTGGATTCAAAGGGTCTTGAGCTGGCCATCAAGTACCCCAAGAGGCCTGTGGCTCGTTGGGGAAGAAAGCAAAGTCCAGCCGGGGCTCCTGGCTCTGTAGACGCTGGGCCAGGTCGGGGGGGATGTGGTTTTTCCAGAGGCTGCGGGACACAGAGACAGACACTCAGCATCCATCCCCTTGTCTCTGCCCTCCATCCTATCTACAGATGGGGAGACTGAGGCCCCAAGGAGAAGAGTTGTGCCCAAAGTTACCTGGCAGAGGCAGGTGTTAGACCAGCACGGCTACCCTAGTCATGGTGTTCCCCACCCCGACTCCCACTCAGTCTTCCTCCATGAGAGCTAGTGATCCCAGCCACGTCCCCATTCATATGACGCACTGTCAAATAAGAACAAGCTCCCCTTCTTCAAGACACTTTACTGCCATTGTCTGAAATTGTCATATTGATTTTTATAGAACAAAACACTTCAATTATCCATGAGAAGTCTTAACATGCTACGATGTGAATGGTGTCCCATAGATGCAATGCCGTTGCGCAGTGCACAGCCTATACAACTGTATGTGGTGCCTCTGATTAAAGCTACCAGAGTAAGTGCTTACTGTGTGCCAGGAATTGTGCTCTGTGCTTCATACAATCATTTAGTCCTCACAGCAACTCTCTGAGGTGAATACTATCATCCCCATTGTATAGATGAGGAAGCTGAGGTTCAGAGAGGTTGAATTACTGATGCAAAGTTACACAATCGGTGGTGGCAGATCTGGGATGTGACCCAGGTCTGCTTGCTGCCAAATTCTTGGTCAAGTGGTCCAAGTCTTGATAATCCCCAGCCCGGGTCCTGCCTCCTTCTACAGGGCATCCCCTTACACTGTAGGGGTTGGTGAGGTCTCCCACCCACCATCCCCGCCCTTGCAAGCCCCTGTTACCGGATGACTTGGATGCCAGACCCCTGTGCCAGTCCTTCAGCCAGGAGCCAGGCTCCGTAAGCTGTGATCCGATTCTTCTCCAGGCTTCCCAGTGCACAGCAGAGGAAGGGGAAAGACAGAGACTGCCATGAGATGGGGCAGGCTTCCCTATGTCCCTTCCCCAGGGGACACGGGCTCCCCACACATCTGCTCAGAGAATCCAAGAGACACAGTTCAACAGGAGGACTGCGGGCTGGGGCCCAGGGAGAGCTAAGCTTGGCAGCAGCTTGGAGAAAACAGCAGTGCGCAGGTCAAGGAGAGCTCCCTGGGAGGCAGGGGCCTGATCCAGTGCCCTCCTTGGCTTTCCCCTGGACGTAGGTTCCCCTTTGGCCCTCCCCGCCCCCTTCTGGCTTCCCAGGATAGGCCCCTCATACTCCACTCTCTTCAGCCGGTACATCCGTGGCAGAACCCTGGCCAGTTCAGCAGCAGCCTCGTCCCCAAGCAGGTTCCAGGACAACCTGAAGGGCAGCGGCCCAAGGTCAGCATCAGGACAGCAGGGAGGTGGAGAGGTGAAGACAAGGTGGCAGGTGGCAGGTGGCAGGTGGGGAGGGCTGGGGCCAACAGGGGTGTGTATGTGCCATGCAGGTACAGAATTACCTGATGGGGTGCTTGTGCGCCCTCCCCTGAAAACTTTTCAGGGCATAGGTGGCTCCTCCCCGCCAAAACCCATTCCCAAGCTGGTCATCCCTTAGAACCCAGATAGCTTAGGATCTAGCTGTCCCGAGAGTTTAGAAGACTGTTTGCAGAAACAGTGTCATGATCCAAACTTCCACCATGCATGTGCCTCCATGATGACTTTTGTCACATCCATGCACCTCTTATGTTATTTGTTTCATATTTTTCCTTAAATAGGTTCTACCTCCTTTTTTTTAACTTTAAGAAATTAATCTTAGGAAGCATTTATAATTACTATCAATGGAAAACATATGTTGAGGACTTTAAATAGAAGGTAGTTACAAGGATACACACAGGGCAAACTACAGTATTGCTAAGCCAGAACCTATGTCCTTCCTAAGGCGCTGAGCCTGTGGCCTGCCCCCTGCTGGCTAAAAAGGGAGACTCACCAGCATTGGGTGTAAAAGTGAGTGAGCACTGACCTGAGATTTCCAATTTGGTGTCAAGTAATGAGAAGCATTAAAATCTTTAGGATGCAAACCTGAAATTTTATAATCATGTGCCCTGTACTTTAGGAAACAGCATTTTCTTCTATACTGTAGTCAGGGCCCCAGGCTAGTCCTGGAAGCCCAGTTCCTGGCAGTGAGGCAAGGCTAGGTTTGAGTGCCTCTGATTGCCCCGAGG